TAGACAACATTAATTTATTATGCCAATTTTGGGATGCACAGATCGTTACTATCAACGATAATATTTCATTTTTAAAGTCAGTAGACGCAACTAAGGAAGTCAAGATACCCCGCCAAATCGGAATGGAAATTGAGAAACTTTGGAATGAGGAACACCTTCGGTGCAGAAGTTGTCATTACAATTTGAATGAAAACGTTATTTTGAATTCTATGCCTGGAATTAATGTAATTAATTTATTTTTTTATTTATATCTTTAAATCACGTATTTTCTGCACAATAGATACTAATAAATTTTTTTTTAATGCTTATTTGTTTGGAATATAGTAATGACTTATTATTATTTTGAAGTAGATCTTTAAAAATGTCATTTATTAGTTATTTTTATTTGGTAATTTTTTTGGCATATGTATCATTTTATCATGTACTCATGTATCGTATACATATGACAAATCATATGTTAATACGAGATATTCCTAATACTTTATAGCTTGTCACAAATAACGCTTATTTTTAAAAGCGTAGCAGTTTCATCATCCGCGAAGAGATTGTAATTTATGGTATATAGTGTTTCAATATTATTTAGCGCATCATATTAAAGATACCTTTTTATTAGAATCATTTATACTTTGGCTAATTGTTCTTTTGAAAGAATTAAAATTTGGCAGTGTATAACCGGCCGTATGATTAAGCAAGCGTTTAAATTTTGATTTTGCCTATAATCGTTTTAATATAGTTTTAAAGGCTAAATAAAAGTTAGGACACTACTTGGAAGGAATGAAAATCTTTAAAGTGTAGTTACAATTAGCAAAATTGCAGAATTATACAGCATCTAAAGACGGGTATTAAAATTTTAAATTAAAAATACAATCCATAAAAAAGATTTTGATGTTAATAAAGAACGCTTATATGTTATAGATTATATGATATTCATTTAGCTTCTACGTAAGGATGTGGTTATACCGGTATAATACTGTAATATGGTATAGCATGGTATAACCGCCATTATGCTTTCAGCTTAAATGGTTCGGAATTATTCTAAAGGAAAACCTTCAGGATTACAGATAAACCAATTTAATTAGCTAACTCATTCTCTTATTGTTATTATACCTATACCTAAACCTACGTATATAATACAGGTACTGGTATTATGCCAATCGTATAATACGGTAGAAGTATAACTTAAGTATAGCTCGCATCCGTGACTATAGTCACGTGATGTCCTATTCGCAATTAAGTTTTTTTTAAAAAATTAAAACTAATTGTAATGCGTATAATATACATTTATTGGTTTTCAGCCAATGAAAAGGATAAAAATAAAAAAATAAAGTACAAAAAAAAAGTCAAAAAAAAAAAAAAAAAGGAAAAAAAAAAAAGACAAAAAAGATAGAAAAGATAAAATATAAACAGTCAATTCTACCTAATTCCTAAAACAAAAGTAAATATATGTACACAACCTTTAATTTCAAAAAAGATTTTTTCCTTTTTTTTAAAAAAAAAAAAGAATAAAAAGATAAAAAAAAAAAAAAAAACATCGTCTACTCATTTAAATTACACATTTGTTCAATAATGGTCTTAAATGATTCACATAAGAATCAAAAACATCTTGTACTTTAGTCCATTGCTGTTTCATTGAAGTACCTTGATTTAAAAATGATTACAAAAAATTAACCGATTAAAAAAAGAAAAAAAAATTTAAATATCCAAATTAAATAAATTAAATCCAAAATAAAGAAAAATTCGACTTACTTATAATACGAGACATTCGAAAGTAGTTTTCATTTACATTGTCATTATATTTTTCTACAACTTTAGAAATATCTTCGACTTCTTGTTTGAAAAATTCCTCAAAGCAACTGAATTTATCAATCATTACAATAAGTGCAGCCATTACAGCATCTAGATGCATTTTAACATCTTCTATTTGCATCAGTTGGGATTCTGTAATTTTCACCTTATCGCCATATTGAACACTAGTAATTGAAGTACCAATCATAGAACCCGCCGAAGCCACTCCAAGAGCACCAACAACAGCCAAAGATGCACCAGCTGTAAATGGCGCCGCACATATTGCAATACCAGTTCCAATTCCAGTACCAACTGCGGCAATTATGTGTTGGAATTGTTCCTTTTTAGCTTCTTGTACATCCTGTACCAATTTTTTTTCTACGCTACTCAATTCTTCAATCTCATTTAAGACATTTTTTAATGAAGCTAATATAATTTTTTAAATGATTTTGTTTTAATAATATAAATAAAAAGGAGACTGCAAAATGAAAATGTTTCTTACCCATTATATCGCAGAAACCCTTTGTTAACTTTGCAGCGTTACTTCTGTTGGAAGTAGCTGCTTGAATTTGTGATTTCATCGCCTCAACAAAATCGTTTCCAGAGACATCTTCATCAAACAATACCTGCACATACCTATCGTTTTTTTTTTTAAAAAAAAAAAGTTAGAAAAAACTTGTAAATAAATATGAATTGCGTTGAGGTCTTATTATACATACTCCATAAAATCTGACGCGTATGCCGCCATTTTCCCACAATGATTTATGCTATCTTGCGTTAACGATCTGAAGAGACGTGCAAGTTCTATGATACTTTTCATATGCTTAGGGATAATCGTATCTTTAATATTATTGCTTGTACATTGTTCCAAATGGATCAAAGCAGTCGAAGCTGCTTGTTCAAGGCCGTCACTATTTGGAATCGGGGGGCTTCTAAAGTCGTGAACGTTAATGCTTGCGTTACCGGAAAGGTTAAGTTCAGAACTTTGCTGCATTCAAAGAAAAAAAATAACGGATTATTGAGCTGTCAATTAGGATGGATTTCCAAAACGGTTTACTTACGGTCATTTTTACAAAATTTTACGAACCAGATAGATAATATGTGATCTTTTATATTTACCAGCCTCTGTTCAGTAAAAAAAAATCGGAGTTTAAAAAATTGTGAAACAAGGCTGTGCGCGTTTCAGGTTTTCTGCGTCACAAACGATTACTTCATATGTTAGATAAAGAGTTGATTTCTTTGTTAAATTTCCATAATAAACCCATATCAAAAACGTGACCTTCATTGATTACCCGAAATCATGTGAGACGGGCCCCACTAATAGTTAGGGTGTCCAGAATTATGCGATGCGCATAACTGATCAACTTAAAAGACGAGCAAGGTTGAGGCGATTTTTTGGATCAAAATCCGTAGTATAATAAATACATATCATAATACTATAAAAATCGTATAGTCTATTTATTTCGCATAATTTTAAAATTATTTCGCATTCACCGCACAATTGACCTCGATCGCATCGCGTCGAAAGCGGAGGGAGATCATGTGACTATTGGCCAATCAAATTATAGAATTTTGATGATCCAATACAAGAGAAAGAAAAATGAAAAAACCTAAAAAATACAAAAAATGGCGTCTAAACCTACCTTGAGTAAGTTAAGCAAAAAAGTTTGGAAGGCAATTTTGCATATACTATATAGCTACCTAAACCCTAACCTAACCTTAATCTAAGATGACCCTAACCTAAAGTTAATTCATTAAATTTTAATTATATAATTTCCCTCCGCTTTAGAAGTCCCCCAATAATGGAAAACAAAGTCGTTATTCAATAATATCTTTACATATCATGCAGGATGCACTTCTTAAAGTAATGGAAATGATTTACATGTTGAATTATGTTTTGTCGCAGTTTTGCCCGCTTGGAGACGTTTTTTGCATTTATACGGAAATTAAATTTTTAGAAAAATCGTTATCCCATTTTTTTACATATGATATGACAACATATAAATATTTTTGTATTTCGTTGTGGATTCATATGGGTATATAGTAAAGTAGTACGGTACTGAAACGCAAATTAGGACGGACGTGTAGAAATCAAGATAGTACGTACGGTTTGTAAAAGAAAAATTTCGTCAAGGCCATGTTACTTCTACTAATTACCCATGAAAAAAGGACAATACTAGCGCCATTAAAATGGTTATAAAAATTGCATTTTACAAGTCTATATTAGCCGTACATACTTTCAAAATTTAGTATATCCGTCCGAATTTGTACTAGTGTACAGTACGTACTACTTTACTGAATACCTGATTCATATTGGGAAAGATCATTATACGAATCGTACGTACTGTACTGGGGCTTCCGATATACTAATTAATCAAACCAGGTATAATAGTAAAAATTCATAGTACAGATTTTTTACCGTAACAAACAATACATCATGTTTAGCCAATAGAATTTTAAGATCTGTAGATCTGTGCGTAACAAAAAAAAAATTACGATAACGATAATGATAATTTATGATATCATTTACGATAAGTATTATGAACTTGCGAATTATTTTTTTTATTTTTTATTTTATTTTTATTTTTTAACTTGCAATTATTAAAAACTAATAACTTTTAACTTTATAGAACTTTAACGGCAGATAAATAATTCTTTAAAAAGATTATCCGCATTCTGTTCTAATTGCTGATCTGATTGGAGAACAAATTTGGTAGAATCTTGTTGATAAGCGATTCTATTTTCATTTCGAATATCTTTCAGTTGTTTATTAGTAATTTGATATTCTTTTGTTCCAGTTGCTGAAAGGCGCATTCTGGATTGTTGTGTATTATTGGACATATTTGGGTGAGTTTTTAAATCCCACTTGTTAAAGAGACCTTCGATCTGTTGTTGATGTACAATAATGTACCATATTTTGTTTTTAACAAAATCATAGAGCAACGGATATTGATGAAGAAGGGCATTCGGTTCTCTAATAAACATGTTGAATTCTTGAAAAAACAATTTGTCAGTGAGTGCATTTTTAAGACCAAAATCGTCGAATCTTTTTTGCACAATATCTGTTTCTAAAAATTGTGCATAACAAAGTTCTTTTAAGCTAGGAAATGTTGGCCAAGGTTTTTTGAGTATGACATGCCAATAACTATGCGCAAATTGCTGGGCATTATTTTCACCAAGTTGACACATACTTAAAAGAAGATGAAGCCAACAATCTAGCCATTTTTGATGTAATTCAAGTCCTTTTTGTATTCCTTTTTCTAACTTTTGGACTAATAATTCAACACCTGAATCATCTATAATTTCCATATTTTGTAAAAGTTCTTCACCAAAAAATAAATAAAGATTTTCCAAGAAATGTGTAAGCTTATGTGTTGAACTAAGAACAAAATCTGGCATTTGATGTGTGTGATGACCTGTGGGCAAGCATTGTAACGAATTATCAGGCTGTACAATTCTTAATTGGGGATCATAACCAACAAGAAATTTTGCAAATGGACAGTAAAATTCTTGACCGAATTTAACTAAATATTGAACTTCAATGTTTAGTTCAAAATTATTTAATCAAACTTGAAATAGTTCCCATTTTTCGATATAGGATTTTGAAACCTTTTTTAAAGTTTTGAGTTTTGGAAGAAATTACGAAACAAATTCGACATGAACTTTATGTCTCTCAAGGTATTGTTCCGCAGTAATTAATTCATATTGCCACCTTGACCATAGGGGATATTGATATTTCGTTAACTCATAATTAATCTGTACCTTATAAAGGTTTTGAATTGTTTCACTTCTTATATTTAGTGACAAATCCTTATCACTTTGGTCATATCTGTTATGTAATATCCATGCCAGATAAAGAAGATTAAATAGATGGTGTGTTTTTGAAAACCCGGTACTTGTTGGAAGCTTACCAAAGGTTTTTTCTTCAAAATTATTTAAAATTAGATATAATACATGTAATCCACAGCAGGGTTAGGCAATTAGACAAGTGGGTTGTCCGATGAAATTTAAATTTCTAAGATTGTCTATAATTCTTTTTGAAACAAGAAACCTCTGTCCAGAGTCAAGCAAACCAAATAATTAGGACAGTAATATACTGCCAATTTTTACTCTATATGTATTAATAGATCAATGGACACCGGACAAATTTATATGTCCGGTGTTCGGTAAAATTCATCGGACATAAAAGGCTGCCCAACTCTGATCCACAGGGAATTCGGGTGCAATTACTTTTGGCTAATTGACTAAATTTGACTACAGCACCTCCAACATGACCACTCATATAATTCGTATTATCAGAAAGAAAGGTAAGGCATCACGTAGTATCAAGTTTGTATTTTGTACAAGACTCAAAAAGAGCCTGGCTAACTGTATATGAATTACACTGTCTAAGATCTTTTGTTTCTAGAAGTATGATATCCGGCATATTTTTTCTGAATTCCAAAACATAAAGCATTTTACTAATATCTTTTTTCACCTTGACCTGATTCATCTGCTATGACTCCAAATGCAAAATGGACTGACCAATTAGCTTGTTGAAATATATTCCTTACATGCAATTCTGATACTTCGCAATGCCAACGGCTGATAGTATCTACACAAAGCCAAGACTGTGTATTATCCCCAGTTAAAAAATTAAAAACCATCTTTATACTTTCTGCTGCAGTGTTAAGGACATTTGGCCGATTTGAGAAACTTGTATGGTAAGCTTAATAAAATCTGTATTATATTTTTTTTTGTTTTATTTAATTAAATTTCTAATTATGGTTTTCAAATCGTTGTCTTTTAATTCTGGAGGGCATTTGGCTACTGCACGAATTTGAGATATATGATGATGATGCTTACGCTTGAACTGTACAATAGAACCATTAAGTTGCCGAACTTTATGGATCATACTGTTTTTAGATTGTTGCAATTTTTTACTGTCTTTTTTGAGTTGTTTGTTTTGATTATTTAATGATTCAAGAGATTTTCCAGGTTTGTAAAGTGAATCAGATATATATTGGAAGGCTTTTTTTTGTAAGTAAGGTGATATA